AGTTGTGCAATTGCAAGTACCCGACTTGCAGTTGCACACTTACATGTGTTGAGCAGTTGTACATTTGATTTATCAGTGTATGCCCCCGACACTCCGACCTCTCCCTATGCCTACGAACACTACATATGTGTTCTTGGGTGTTAAAGCTAATCAGAAGATAAACCAATCTGGTCTAAAAGACTACTAATATCGAATCATTTTATAAACAAGTTTTCTCCATGCTTCATTTGAAAAGTTAAAACTTCCCGAAACTTCCGTAATTGCAGTCCTCTGATGACACAAAAGTTAAGTCCCCACTATCGTTTGTTAAACCCTATTGAACGGATATTTAACCTAGAACACCACTTTCTTATTCAAGGGGCTCTAGCATGGACGTTCCTAACCCTTCTCGTGTTTCCACTAAAACAAATGTACATACTTATTACACAGTTAACACGACAGAAATAAAGTGGCTACAAACGAGGCTGCACTACTTTTTCATACACTAAATATTATTGTATTCTTTTACAAAATCATGTGTCAAGTATGTGAGGGTTACTAATGAAAGATTAGACGTTCCAGCACCACATGCACATTTTAGCATGCGTAACTTTTGTACGCCATAGAGCAAAGTACACACTGATGGGCTGTGTACATTATTTTTCATAAATATGTAAGATGTAAGCTTACGTGCGTTTATCAACATGCGTACTACAAGGAAAGAATCAAACAATCTGTAACTGACATACAGGTGAACATGAAGTTTATGTATGCCAAAAATTAGGTAACTTTTAATTCATTACAAATCATACGTTAAAAAGCGTCTGTAGCTTTTACACTTTTGAATTTTTACATAACTCATAAATATTGAGGTCTTTCATGGCACTGCCATTTCCAAAATTTAAATTAAATATACTCACGGAGGGCTACTTTTCTCTTTTGTTCATTACCGTGTACAATTTTATCTTACATTTAATTGTGCACAATTACGAACGTAATTACGCACAGTTTCAAAAGTGCGTACGTATGACGTGTAACAAAAAGTACATTGTCCAGGAGTGTGTGGGGTGTGTGGAGCATATAATGTTTTGAACGTACCTGGCAGTGAGTACATCGGTGCGTGACCGAGTAAGGGTGGTCGCAGTCGTAGCGGGTGAGGATCTCTCCAAACTCGCAGGAGAGCCGGGCGGCGAGCGCGTCCAGCTCGAGCAGCGCGCCAAGGTAATGTGAGCACTGTGAAGACGAGGAGAGGACGGCCTCGAGGGCCTCCGGGGTGAGTGAGCTGCCCACCGAGTGTTCGCAGCAGTGGCGGAGCCGCAGCTCCTGCAGCCGGCTGGCGCTCAGGCTCGAGCCGGCGCACAGCCTGTCCTTGTCCGACTCGTGGAAGTAATGAAGGCACTGGTTGTGGGAAGCGTTGTGGGCCGCGCAGGAGCGCGGGCAGGCCTCGTCACTGGGCGGGCCCGGAGGCGTGCCGGGCGTCCCGGGTGGCCCGGGACCCTCGGCGATGTCGCCGTTGACCCGAGCGGCGCCAGCGTGCGCGTGGCCGCGTGGCGCGCCGTGCGGCATGACGTTAGCGCACGCGCCCTGCAGGTCCGGGGCCGTGTTGGGCTGGGCGAGGTCGCAGGCCGACAGCCAGGGGTTGAGCTGCGCGACGGGCGATCCGGCGTACAGCCCCTGGAAGCCCTGCAGGCCCTGCAGGCCCTGCAGGCCCTGCAGGCCAGGCGCTAGGCCCCCGTAGACGCCCCCGTAGCGGGCCGGGTGGTGGTGGTGATGGTGGTCGCCGACCGCGGGCCCGGTCGCCAGCAGCAGCAGGAGGAGCGCGCCAGAGAGGGCAGTGAGGACGTGTACGTGGGCCCGCGGCCAGGCCAAGGGCATGGTCCGGCCCCACGGAGCGAGTCCAGATCAGCAGCTACGAAGTGGAGGGACCGGGGCCGCACTTCAGAGCACAAGGGGTGCATCGCTGCAGCGGCTGCAGCGGCTGCAGGCGGGCCAGGCGGGCGGGCGCGGCGGGCGCGCTCGGAGGGCATCGGCCCCCTCCTCCCCCCCGGCCTGCGCTCACGCCAGCGGCATGCTGGCCGTGGCGGCGCTTGGGGCGGGCCGCCCTGGGCCAGGCGGCGCCTCTGGCTACGCCGTTGACGCCGGCCTCCGCGTCCCCATGCCCTCGCACGGGGCCCTGCACGCCCGGGGCCCGGGGGTGGAGGCGGAGTGGCGCGGAGTGGCCGCTGCGCTCACTGCTCCGCCAACCGAGAGTCGGCAGCAGAGGCAGCAGCAGGAGCAGCAGCAGCGGCGGTGGCGGCGGCGGTAGCAGTGCGGAAGGCCACTGCTGTGTCGTGGAGGCGGGGGCGGCGCAGGCAGTGGGGGCGGCGGGGGCGGCAGCGGTTGAGAAGGCGGTGGCAGCGGCGGAGGCGGCGGTACTGGTGGCAGTTGTCGCGGCCAGCTCTGACTCCAGGATGACGACGGACGGGGCGGCCGAGAGGACGTGAGAGTCGTGCAGTCGGTGTGCGTGCGGGAGGAGGAGGGCGAGGAGGAGGGTCGCGGCGACAGACAGGAGGGGGAGAGCCTGAAGGGCTGCTGTGGCGTTCTGTCCGTGTCCCCCGAGGCTCGTCGTTCTCATGCTCTTGTCAGGCCCGGTCATGAAACGCGTTGCAGTCGGCTCCCAGCTCGGCTCCCTGCTCGGCTCCCTGCTCGGCTCCCTGCTCGGCTCCCTGCTCGGCTACCGGCCCATGCGTGGCTCCCTGCCGCGGGGCGCGCTCCCGGGCCGGGCCAGGCCCGCGGCCAGGCCAGGGGCGAGGGGGGCAGCCCGAGGGACAGCCGGATCAGCTCGGTACGCCGCGGACTCGGCTCATCCATGGCCGACAGCACCGCATGTCGCACACGTCTCGCACTCAACACTCGACACTCGCGTAGGTAGAAAAATAAACCTATTCAAACTGTAAAAGGATAAAGAACTGACTTCCTAAAGGCACCAACGTTCCCCTGTATCACTAGACGCGACGGCGGGCCGATGGGGCGGGCGGGCGGTACCGCGGGCGACACCCGAGGGCGCGCTCATGCCGGGTGCATGTCCGTGCCTGGCAGGCCTGGCGGGCCTGACTTGGGCTGCCAAGGCTAGGACCACTCCCTGGCGGCCCTGGCGGCCATGTTGGGCGTGCGAGGGCTGCGCTCCTCTGCTGGTCCGCGTCTGTTCGGTGGGACGGCCCGACTGGGGCCTGAGAGCTGGCATGAGCAGAGCCACACTCGGCAGGGCAGGGCAGGGCGGGCCGGGGCAGGAGCCAGGCAGAGCGGAGCGAGCGGAGCGGGCCAGGCCACCAGACCAGCGCCGGGCGAGCCCACCCAGCCCATCCCCGAGCGGAGCCGAGCACAGCCGAGGCGCGCCGCGCATGCGCCCGGCCCGGTCTGGATCGATAGCCCAGCGCACATTTCCATGCGGGCCGCCTTCCACCCCTCCGCCAACGCC